CCTGAGACAGGTGAGAAAATATTGGAGGGAGGAACAGCACACAGCTGAGAAACTGGGAAGAACAGGGTGTGATTCAGCATTCTGTATGCAAGTGAAACCGAGATGCTTTAAAGAAATCTGGTGAAGAAGAACCATTTGCTACACCAAATAAACTTGCTAGGAAATTCACTAAGAATGTGAGTTACCATGACTTTTTAGAATGTCTAATGTTGACATTCACTAAACATTAAAATCGTGCTTAAAAATGGAATGCATTAGTTTCTTAAAATAGCATACTATTATAATAGACTCTTATAAACTTTCACAAGATTTTGCCTGGTAGCATAGTGAGACTTAGGAGATAATGTTCACAACCCGTTCCACAAGAGTGCAATACTCTGTCACAGTTGGGCAAACTAAAAGGAGGAGCAAGTGAGTCCCATTTCAGCCGCGTTTTAGAGAGTTTGTCTTGTAAGGCTGAGTGTTTTATGGTAAAGTTATTATAGAACATACAAAGACAAGCAAACGTATCTTGGAACAAGCTTTCCATGGATTCTAATCCACAAAAGGTAATGCCATGATAAAATGTGTTAGTCTTCAAGGCTCATTTTATTGTTTATGTAATGTTATGGCTTCATAGGAGGATTGTCTCTGGCAATTCTCTTTTTAGAAATTATATCTTGCGTCCGACAGTTATGCTGTACACAGGGAGGTACTGCAAAAGAGAAATCCCTGCACATCATGGATACAGTCTTGGAACGTGGAGGCACACCCTCTATTGGAATATGATACTAGGACTAGGACTATTCTCTGCTTCTGAGTGTTTGCAGTCTTTGTGGCTCACATGTCTGCATCCTGTGCCCAGGATCTTGCCAGGGCACACCCAACCAGAAAAGGGATGCTTTGTAACAGTTTGTATCAAGGATGCTGAAAGGAACAGCTCTGTCATTCTGCCCTGTAACTAATACTAGCACTACTGATAGGGATGTGTGAGCTAACAGGGTTTTATGCAGCTTGCATGGGTGTTCCAACTGAGGTTGCCCTGGGTGTTAGACAAGAGAATCCAAGTATGCGTAGGCATATGCACAAGGTGCTACACACGCCTATGCTGCTGGTAACAGAAAAGCATGGTGTGGGAGAGCCAAATATCAGGACAACGAAGATCTCTCGCTGCGGAAATGGCAAGACTGCATGCATTGTGAGCATCCAGAATGACCTTTATGTTAGCATAGGCAGTGCATAGATTTATTGAAGGTATGCTGGGGATTTGGAAGGGCAACCTGAATTTTCAGAGAAGGACTTGTCCAGAAGAAATTTTGATCTGCACTTGGGTTTTTATATTCCGACTTCGGGAGTCGGACAGCATCACAAGTTCTGACATGGGACACTTAGAACTCTCAGCACTTGCAGTAAATTCCTTGGCTTTTCATATTGTGTATTTTAAATTCTGTTTGTTCTCAGCTGTGCCAGTCGTCATTCCACAGGCTTTTAAGAGACTATCCATAGGACACTCTGCCCTTCCTTTCTTCGGGCCAGAATCATGGCTGATAGCACCTAATGGGCACGCCGCTCCTTCAGGTGACAGTGAGGTATGAAGAAGAGCAAGCCAGGTGTCCTCAGCCCATTGCCTTTCGGATGTGATGAGCTGCAGCACCTGCCCTTCCCAGCCAGCACAGTCCTCTCACATCAGCATTTAGTCAGTATTAAACATCTGTTTAAAACTGGAATGGATTAGATTCTAATTCTTTAAGATACTACCCATCATTCTTGGTCAACGTCTGTGCATCACACATGTGGGCTTTTCCAAGGAGTAGATTGGAAAGATGCTTCCGTAACAGTGTCTTGAAGTGGGCAGGATCCCCACCCCCACCCCTTCTGGGTCCCAGGATAGTGGGGTACTTCCTCAGTTTCTTTCTGACTACACACCTTGCTGTATCGCCAGACATGAAACCTTTATAGAATATTGCCTTTCATGACAATTTACCTGCTGCTATATTGGGACCTAGGAAGGAATGTTTGGAGCAGGTTCCTTGCTGTAGTCTAGCACCAAACTTGCTTTCTTTGGTACCAGGTCAAGATAGCCCTTTATATGGAGGCCTTTAAAGATCACCTTGGTTATCCAAGGGCTTGAGGGAATAATCCAGGTAATCTTTTCCTTTGAAGGACCTTTTTGCTATATTTTAAGCTATTTTGGAATCAACATTGAATTTAACATTGTCAATTTTGAATTGAACTTCATTTTTATTATTTTGTTTTGTATATTGCTGTAAAGCGACCAGAGACTTTTGCTTATGAGGTGAAAGAGAAAAGAAATAACTTCATAGCAATAATATAATGTTCTGAGCAGTTTGAACATGACAAGGGATGCTGTGTCATAGTTGGGCAAGTTAAAAGAAGGAGCAAGTGAGTTTTATTTCATTTTTGCTCATCTCCAGAGACTCCTAAAACTTTTGCAGGAAAAACAGCAGAGTGACATCTTAAAGATTCGCAGATGTGTTAGGGAACATCTCTCATGGAGCAGATCAGATTCTAGTTCACGAAAGGCAATGCCATTATCGATTTGTTAGTTTTTAAGGAGCCACAAGACTTTCCCTCCGTGTGTGTGTGTGTGTGTGTGTGTGGGGGGGGAGAGGGAGAGGGAGAGAGGGGGGCTTCATAAGAAGATACACTCTGGCACTTTTCTTTTTAGAAATGCTGTATTGGCCCAAGCACTTGTATTGTGAGCTGGCATGTTTGGTTAAGGAGAACTATTCCAGTATCTCCAACTGGGAATGCTGGAAGCTGCAGTCTGACATAGCTGGAAGGTGCCAAATTGGGGAATTTGGGGATTAAAGGATCAGACTAGGATAGGGGAAACCAATCTTGAACCAGTCAGCCTCATCTAGCGTAAACATCTGGGTTTTCTGAGGACGTGACTGGGGCAGGGAACCACAATTGGTGCCATGAGTTCTTTAGAAGAAAGCCAGGACAAAAATATACCATGTTAGCCCTGTGTAGCAGTGCTGCATTACATATTCCACTGTGTAAAAAAATTGTTAAGCTGCCTCTCCTCAGCGTCTCAATATTTGTCTATATGATTCACTGTTTGTTGGCATTTTGGAGTAGTTATTGTACAAGAATATAGACATAGGGAGCTAAGATAGGCCCTTGCAAATGTATGCTCAGTGGCATGGTGTTTGCTATTGCATAACTGAACAAGGTTCTGCAAATAAAGCAGGAAGGATGACACGATCACTATTTATTTATTTATTTGATGTATATCTCACCTTTTTCATGTCTTTTTTTAAAGAACTCAAAGCAGCTTACAACATTCTCCTGCTGCTTTCAGTTTTATCCCCACAACAACAACCCTGTGAGGTAGGCTGGGCTGAGAGTCTGTGACTGGCCCCGGGTCACCCAGTTGGCTCCATGGCTGAGTGGGGACTAGAACCCAGATCGCTAGAGTCCCAGTCGCATGTGTCTACTTACTACTGTACTGGGTCTCCATTAAAACTGGTGTTGACCATTAGCCATGGTGAGAGAAAGATCATGGAAGACGATACAGAATGCACAACCTGTTTGCACTGTCCTTGGTAGCCATCAGTTAAAAATACCCTAGCAGACTAGATGCTAAGTATGTCTGAGGAATCCAGTAGTGGGGATAAAAATCCCTCTGGATTCCAGTTTGTCAGTAGTGCATCGACTAACTTAGTGTGAGTCACGTTAGCCCATGGATTTCCGTCTCTAAGATGAACCACAATTGCATTTTAACCACTACTGAGATTTGCATTAATAAGCACCCAAAAGTCATGTTTCTGTAGCACAATTTGCACAGAATCATCCGATTTGCAATTTGCATGATTGTGTAATAAACTGTTTTTGCACAAATCATGTTTTCATGTGTTCTTCATTTTAAAAAGTACACAACATTTTCTTTTTGCGAAAGAAAGGTTTGCAGACCCCCACCCGCCAACCTCCAAGCATTGTATCAGAAGCGAGCAGGAAAACCACTGAGCTCAAACAAGCCAGTTTTCCTGTTTTCAGTACATCCTTGCTAAGTGCATGTGTATTTTGGTTCCTAACCCCATCCTGTATCACACTGCCCATGCAGACACTGTTACACCTGCTTAATAGCTGTTGATGCATTGCACTTGTCTTCTTGCCCTTGCTGAATGTGAATTAGAAATGAGACAATTTAAAATACTCCATTGTGTTATTTCTAAAACTCATGCCTGTGTAATTATTCTTTTACTTACCATTGCAAATGTGTCATTTAAAAAAATAGCAAGGGGAAAATCTGGGCCAGAAGAAGGTTAAATAACAAACAAATGAGCAAAGTATTTAACTTGGGCAGTTGCTAAGGTGTAGGTTTTGGCTGACCCAGTTCTGTTTATTCTGTCACAATGATATTTGTGTCTATAACATTAATAATACAAATCTTATGTCTTCTGGCACTGCTGCTTTCTGCTTAGAAAAAGCTGTTATTACTGCCTGTTATGACACTCTGTTGTGCTGTCATTCTCTTTTTCCACTCCTCCTCTACTGATTCATTGTGAATATAGTTCTTGAGCTTTGAAGTGCATTGTGAGCTTCCATTCTAGATTAAAGGATTTCTCCAGGAGCAGTTTCTCTTCAGCACTTTAAGGGCATGGCCATAGCATGCTGTATTCAGTAGCATTTTTCCTAACCTGTACTTTCAGAAATATATATGGGTGAGAGATGTTGTTTATTTTATTAAACTAATTTTCTTACCAATCTAAAAGACATTACTAACTGGCTTATAAATGCATCATTTAAAAATGATTTTTAACATTGGGAACTCCAGTTCTCCCTAATCTCTAAACTATTTTTTGTCGTGATTTCTGCAGGCGAAGGCACACCAAAAACAGATTGGGATGTGTAGATCAGGATTGAAAATCAAAGATTATCTCCCAAAATAGAAAGGAGTGCCATGGCTTAAAGAGCTTAAGCAGTCCACTACAGGGCTTCTGTTACTTACAAAACTCTTTTTTTTTTTTTTGGATCTCTGTGCCATTTTCAGATAACTTGCAGGAAAGGAAAAAGAGGAATTTTACAGGCGAGAAGGAGAGAGATGCAGCTGGAGCTATAGAAGGGACTGAAGAGAGACATTGCTTGAAAGGACCCTCTTTTAATATTCGCTGTGTGAGGGTATGTACCAAAGTGTGAGAAGAAAACAGTAGAAGGTAGGAGGCAAATAACAACACTTTTTAGGTGTGAAAAGGTAAGGTGTTACAGAAATCTGGAAAGAAACGGTTTTAGTGCTCAAAGCTATGCAATTTGGCACCTGAAGAAGGCACTCCATGCCACTGAGGCCACCTGAACCTCAAGTGAGAAGGATGGATTGAGGAGCATCCCCAAGCTGTGAACTTGCTCCTTCAAGGGAAATACAACCCCATCCAGAATAGGTTGAATTCCCCCGTCTGGTCAGATGAACCATGCACTAACAGCATCTTGGGATGAGCTTCATTTTATTAGTCCTCATCCAGTCCATTGTCACAGCCACACATTAGTTTAGCACACCCACAGCTTCACCTAGAGAAGATGAAAAGAAGAAATAGAGTTGCATGTCATCGGTATACTCATGAAAATGCAGTCCAGAACTCTGGATGATAACACTCAGCAGTTTCATCTAGATGTTAAATAGCATAGGGGACAAGACCAATCCCTGAGGAACCCATATTGTTGTTGTTAGTCGCAAAGTTGTGTCCAACCCATCGTGACACCATGGACAACATTCCTCCAGGCCTTCCTGTCCTCCACCTTCCCCCGGAGTCCACTTAAGCTCATGCCAACTGCTTCAGTGACTCCATCTAACCATCTTATTCTCTGCCATCCCCTTCTTCTTTTGCCATCTATTGTTCCCAGCGTTAGACTCTTCTCCAGGGAGTCCTTCCTTCTTATTAGGTGGCCAAAGTATTTGAGTTTCATCTTCAGGATCTGGCCTTCTAAAGAACAGTCAGGGTTGATCTCCTCTAGGACTGACTGGTTTGATCGCTTGGCTGTCCAAGGCGATCAGTTCTTCGGCGCTCAGCCTTCCTTATGGTCCAGCTTTCACAGCCATACATTGCAACTGGGAAAACCATAGCCTTGACTATATGCACTTTTGTTAGCAGGGTGATGTCACTGCTTTTTAGTATGCTACCTAGATTTGCCATAGCTTTCCTCCCCAGGAGCAAGCGTCTTTTAATTTCTTGGCTGCAGTCCCCATCTGCCGTGATCTTGGAGCCCAGGAAAATAAAATCTGTCACTACCTCCATTTCTTCCCCATCTATTTGCCAGGAAGTGAGAGGACCGGATGCCATGATCTTAGTTTTCTTAATGTTGAGTTTTAAGCCAGCTTTTGTGCTCTCCTCCTTCACCCACATCAAGAGGCTCTTTAGTTCCTCTTCACTTTCTGCCATGAGAGTGGTATCATCTGCATGTCTGAGGTTGTTGATATTTCTCCCAGCAGTCTTAATTCCAACTGGTGATTCATCTAGGCCCTCCTTTCTCATGATGTGCTCTGCATATAAGTTAAATAGGCGGGGCAACAATATACAGCCTTGACGAACCCCTTTCTCAAGTTTGAACCAATCAGTGGTTCCATGCCCAGTTCTCACTGTTGCTTCTTGACCCACATATAGGTTTCTCAAGAGACAAATAAGATGGTCAGGTACTCCCATCTCTTTACGAACTTGCCACAATTTGTCGTTATCCACACAATCAAAGGCTTTAGCATAGTCAATGAAGCAGAAGTAGATGTTTTTCTGGAACTCCCTAGCTTTCTCCATGATCCAACGTATGTTGGCAATTTGATCTCTAGTTCCTCTCCCTCTTTGAAATCCTGCCTGTACTTCTGGTAGTTCTCAGTCCACATACTGCTGGAGCCTAGCTTGTAGGATTTTGAGCATAACTTTGCTAGCATGTGAAATGAGTGCAAGAAGCCAAGCAGTATCCCACCTTCTGTACCGCCTTCTGCAGCTGACCATCCAAGTAACAGTGGAACCAGTGCAATGCAGTAGCCCCTGCTCCCAACTCAGCCAGCTGCCCAAGAAGGCTGCCACGGTATTGTAAGCCAGCAAAAGATCCAGGAGTATCAACAGGGCCAGACTCCTCATGCATCTCTCCTGACATAGCTCATCCTACAGGGTGACCAAAACCAAACCCCAGACCAAACCCTGTCTGAAATGGATCTAGATAATCAGTCCCATACAGGACCCCAGAACTGGTTGGCTCCAACCCACTCAAGAACCTTGCCCAGGAAAGGCTTTTTTATCACTGACCTAACATCATTGAGATCTTTTGAGTCCAGAGATGATTTCTTCAGGAATGGCCTCGCCATGACCTATTTCAGGTGGCATGAGGTTACTCCCTCCCATAAAGACGCATTAATCACATCCTGTCCCACCTGGCTTTCCCACCATGCTAGCTTGTATTAGCTAAGAGGCATGTGAATCCAACATGATGTGGTTACATAAACCTGCCCAGACTCCTTGTCAACATCCCTGAGCTGAATCAACTGAAATTCATCCATGACGACTTGACCAGGCTGTGCTTCAGTTACCTCATCTGATTCACCTGCTATAAAATCAGAATCTAAGTCCCACTGGATACAAAGAATTTTATTCTGGAAGGGGGCCTTGGATGACTTTAAAATGTTCTTGCAGCTGACAGATAATAGTCCCGGATGACCCTAAAGAGGTCTGCCAGGTGGCAAAGAGAAGATTAAATAGTGGCAATAAGATATTGTTTCTTTGCTGCTCTCGCTACACCAGATATACTTGACTATAGACACTTTCCAGGGTTTGATTTGCACCCTCTGGGTTTCCCTCTACCAGCACTTAAGTCATCTCTTTTCTGTCATCATTCTTTTTAAAAATAATTATTTTCTTAAGATAAACAAATAAACAGAAAAGAATATAAAATAAAACAACTGTGATATACAAAACAGCTAAAATAGACAAGGTTGCCAAGGGAATTTTATAGTGATCCAACCGGTACAACCCACCCCCCAAATCTATCTTATCTTCCTGTCTTTCTATGCTCCAAAAGAGTTTAACAAAAAAAGAAATCTTTAATCTATGCAACAACAAATCCTCCAATCAGTTCATATTCTCTACTGCTTCCTTTCCTTTTCTAAACTCCTCTGATCCCACCAAACATGCTAATTACAGTAAAATTCCATTTATCTTCTGACGCTGTTCTATCTGCAGAAGTGGTCAACTTTGCCATCACACATACTTTGCCAATCCATTTCTCCATTCTTCAATTGCTGGGAGCTCCAACGGTTTCCAACCAGAAGCAACTGCAATTCTTGCTGCAATTAACATATACCCAAATAACTCTGAGATAGTCTTTGAAAGGTTCTCTGAGACTATATTCAAAGAGCATATTCTTGTCTCTGGTATTCAATCTAAGGAGCTTGAACAATGATCTCTTTACAGATTTATCATCCATTTCCCCGCACCAGATTCAGATTTTCTTCTCACATTAGTTCTTCTCTCCTCTCCTCCTCTTCTCTTCTGCTCCTCCACACATCCACCTTTCACTTTCTTAAGAACTGTAAATAAACTCACAATTTAAGACTACAACTTAAAGCAGAAGGATTAAGAGAGGAGGAAATCAAGAAAAGAAGAAAAATGGGGGGAGGTGAAGAGGGGGGGAAGAGAGAAAAGGACAGAAAGCAGAAGTAGACAGAGTCAATTAATCAGCATTTTATTAATATTAGAATTATTAATCCCATTATATCTCTATTAAAATATTAGTTTGGATTAATTTGTTAAATGACATTATTCAGACTTTCATAGTGGAGAACATTAACTTCCAGTCTTCTCCAAATCCAACAGGTAGTGCTAATGATCTTCTCACATTGAGTCATGCTCATTCTTTTCGCTCTTTGTTCTCTGCTGCCCGTGATTGAGGAAAGGGGGAAGACCAAGACCAAACACACACACAGAGCCTTGTCCAGACCATCTTGGAAGTGGTGCTGATGGTCTTCAGATCAGCCTATGCCTGCATAGATTACTTTCTTAATAAGAGGCATTGTTAAGATTGCTTTCCCAGAACTGGGAAAGCCTCCATTTCTCTCAGAATCTGACAAATGACTCTGATGGTCTCCAACTCATTTTTCACTGCCTCAGGCCTTTGTTCTCTCCATAAAGCCAAAGCAAAGGAGATAAAGGATCTGAAAATCAGAAAAATTGCACCCCACACCCCAGTTCCAGTCAAAGCCAGAGGGAGATACAGTTGCCTTTTGCATATATCAGCAGATTCAGGAACTGCAACAGAAAGGCTCTAAACTCCAGCAGGCAGCCACTCCACAGAAAATGGCAACGGAGAGAAAGAGACGCCATCTTCCCCAACATGCTGAAGCCTTGGTCAATGCATTCAGTTTGCAATGTCCATAATTAATTTCTTAAAAAGATATCAAACAGTTTGCAAATTAAGGTCTTATTACAGGTTAAGCAAAATGTTAAGAAAGCATCTGTTTCAGAGTCATTTCTAAGTACGCTAACAGAAATACCTTATTGAAAAAGTATGTCTTAGCCTCAAGTCTTGGCTGTCTGGAGAAGGCAATTATTCTTACTCTCAATTAAAAAGACACAAAGTAAGTAAAAATATACTCCCAACTAGTGTTCACATGCCAAGGTCAGTTTACACCATTCATATTTCTCAATTCTTAGTTCTAAAATAGAGATATTAAATACCTTGCAAGTAAGATGTCACTAATCACCTGATTGTCTGTTCCAGAGTCCCTTCAAAGTATGTGGAAAAAAATCCTTAAGAGTGCAAATTGCAGCAAGTTAAAACATTATTATTATTCCCTTGAGAAAAAATTGAAATGAAAAAACAGTACTAGATAAAATAATAAAGAGGGAAAAAGAGAAAGAGGAGAAGTCAGAAGGCAATTTATTACCTTCATTAGCAAGATAAGGAAGGGAGTGGCATCAAGCCACTGCTTACAAGTCCCCATTTTCCCTGAAAGCCCTCAGGAAATCCTCTGGACCCATCAGGCTGCGGGGGGGGGGGGGGGACCATCTTAATAGATCCCCCACCCCTGAAGTTGCAATTAATCTAAATCTCAGTAAGCATTAATTTGACCATGAAAAAAAGGGATCAGTTTGAAGTCCCTTACCTTCAGATCACTATCGCCATCACCCGCTGAACAA